AAAATACTGAGAAAAGTGGATTTTTTTCAACAAAAAGTCAGTAAAAGCGAGGTGAAACGGAAAAAGTAAAAAAAGCGAGCCGCCAGCATCTCTGTAATATGTTTTCTACGGTGTTATTTTGGTTTTGTGCCTTTTTTTGTGAAACAAAGAGCAGACATTTGTCAGATAAAAATGTGTAATCGGCCTAATGAAATTATATGATAGAACAATAAAGTTCATGTAAAAGAAATTTAGCTTGTTTTTATTGAGAGCAATGCAATCGAAAAGTTGCTCATGTATGTTAGCTTCAATCGAACCTAAAACTCATCAAAATAAAGCGCATTGGACGAAACCACTGTAAGGCGTGTGTTAGAAGGTTAAGATCACAGGACCACAGGATTTATTTTTTTTGACGAAATGGGCCAAGATCTCTCCTTGTGAGACAAAAGGGCAACGAAAGAAGAGCTCTTTATAGAAATCTATAAAATCTCTGAACTAACGCAACACATTCTGATTTCAACTATGGTGCACTTAGAGAAGGAGACAGAGTGTAGCAACAACATGAAATTAACTTTGATTTTGATGGACAAGCACAACGCGTGACAGGTAAATGGATGAAGGGGAACGAGAATGGATTTTCGACCGAAGCCGAATTCGAACTTACGGCTTCTATCTTAACATCGGCTAAACGAAAATGAAACTTTTTTAGACTTATGAAGACGGGAATAATTTCCCCGGTATTTGAAGGTTTTAAGAGAGTTTATATTTGCACCAGTTACCTCTCATATCTTATATCTTGTTCATTAAAGTTACACGAAATTAAAAACTTTACAGTTCCAACAGGTAGCTGCTATTGAGGTCGATTCTACTAGCTCGATAGAACGAAAATTCAAGTCAGAACCAGAAAAAGTTCTGTACAAATTATATTTTCTATTTTTCAAGTGTATTGCATTACATCTATATCTATTATACTTAACATGGAACGTGTTTTTTCATCTTTGATAATAAAATATATCTTATTAAAATATTTACGTCAGATTCTGTTTTTTATCACTTATCTGTAACAAACAAGAACAGTTAACACATATTTATGATTTATGTCAAAAATGATAGTCTGTATTAAGGAATCATGATTCCAAGTTGAGTCAAGCCAATTGTATTTGGTGTAAAACTTATAATCCCTACACGTGAGGATTGTTTAAATTGGGAAAATGCCGCTTAGAAAGTTCCGAAATTCAAAGCAATTCCGGAGAGAGATGGAAAAACCGAATTTTCCCAAAATCGTTTTAATTTCTTTCTGGCTTTATTTGTAGTGGTATTTCATTATCAATTGCACGAAAACATTGACACTTTTTCTCCTCTACAAGATAGCATAATTAGAATTTCAATGTGATGTTTCATTTCTTGTCCAGCATCAACTTAATGTTTTCTTATGAACGCCACAATTTTTTCTTGACTCTTTGTAGTGAGATTTTATAATAAATTGGGAATTAACATTAATTACATTTTCTCTTCTTCCAGATGTCCTTTAGAGTTCCATCACCAACCTTGTTTTTTCAAATGGACTATATTGGAATTTTGTACATTTATATACAGTAATGGACAAAAGTATATAGACAAATATGAATATCTACCTAAATACCTTTAGAAAATGAATTCATACTTCATTGCTTCATAAATAAATGCGTTGTTAGTAGAAAAACTAAATTCCTTGATTTACATTATCTGCAATGAACACAATACAACTCTCAATATAAGCACTTTTTTATGAGGGACAAAAATATGTACGTATAGATAAAACCTTTTCAACATTAGTTTAATACAGTTTCGTGTCAGAAGAGGATTAGTTTGTGTTCATCAAGTATTGTGGTATAAGTTGAGTGATTTTAAGACAATGCCGCGTGGTCTAGACATTTCTTTCGATGTGAAAACTAAGATATACAAGTTATACAAAGATGGTCAAAGTTAAGTCGACATTGCCAAAAATTTGAAGCTGAAGCGTAAAGCAATATTGAACAAATATAAACAAAAAAGTATCTTGGAATCCTCTAAGAGAAGTGGGCGGCCTAGAAAACTAAATGCTAGATCAGTTAAATTAATAAAAGTAATTTCGTCCAAAGATCCGTTTAAAACCCAAAGACAAATAAAAGCCGAAATCGAGACAAAAGGAAATGGAAAAGGAAGCTTAAATCATTTGAAGTTATTTAGACGTCGCTCGAGTAAGAAGCCGCTAATCTCGATGAAAAACCGTGAGTACCGATTGCAATTTGCACGGTTGACATACTAAAGCACATCATGTTACCCTATATGGAAGACAATATGCCCTTAAGATCAATCTTCCAGCAAGATCACATGGCCTGCACAGTCTTCCTATATAAACCACATTGAAAATCTATGGGAATACTTAGATAAGCAAATACGAGATAAAAATTATTCAAACAAGGATGAACTTTTTGCCGCTTTAGAGCAGTGGAGACAGATTAATGAATCTTATATCAAGAAACTTCTACAATCTATGCCGAGACGATGCCAGGCGGTGATTGATAATAATGGTTATGCTACAAAATATTAACACAAACATGGTTGGTTTTCTATAATTCAATGAACTTTGCTCCTTTTTTCTATAATTGTTTTGCTTTGTCTATATATTTTTGCCCTTCATAGTTCCAGTTTTTTTCAATTAAATTTTTATTGAAGGGAGTTATTTATGTATAAGTAAGTATTATGCTATAACGAATTATGTATACATGTTGGTGTATTAATAAAACAAGTTGAAAAAGAAATACAGTACAATAATAATTTGTCTATATACTTTTGTACATTACTGTACTACTAAGAACATATCATTTTAATTAAATAATATGTGAAGTTCATTGTGATAATATATTATATTCATAACTAAATGCTGAATCCAAAAGTGTTCGACTGTGCAACATTTTAATATGGAGTCTATAAGAAAAAATAAAGTTAATGATGAAGAACGGAAGCAGAAACCTAAAATGCTAATATGCAATTTATTCTAAAATCCCATTTCAAATAAAACTAGGGAATAAACGAGTTTGCGATAAATCCGGTAGGACATATTATTTTTGGAATCCGAATTGAAAACTCTACTCATCTGTGTAAAAATCCAATATGGAGTCCATTATAAAAAACAAAGTTGATGCTAGAGGACAAGAGAAGAAACGTGGTATTGGAATTCTAATCATAGCATGTGGTAGAGGAGAAAAAGTGGTAATGTTAATGTGCGGTTCATTTTGAAATCTCAATACAAATAAACTTTCTAAGCGGCATTTTGTTAGTTACCTAAGTACGCAACTTTGCCTCCAATTAAGCGACTTCGTATGTCCTATCGTTTCCCAGATCCGAATAGTGACGGTCGAATTTGAAACACCCGGTATTTATATGTATAAATTGCTAGCTTCCTGCTCCGCTGTTTCACCGACGACCGTCTAGGTGGCGCCACTAATAAAGCAATCAACTTTCCCAAGCAAGCAAGTTGCTTGTCAATTTACTAATACCATCAAAAACGTACGGAAGTTTATAGCATTACTTGAAAGCAACGCTTTATGTTACAGTCTCAAAATACGATGTCGCGGGGAACAGCAAGACTGTCACAGGTTAAGTGAAGCGATGGCAGGCCGCGCTGTTCGTGGCCTGACTCTGACGGTGAAGATTTCGGTACTTGCCACGAGAGTTAATTGCAAAATCAACAATGAGTTCGCGCGTAAAACCATGCCTATAATCTTCCTTGGGTATCAATTAGGAAGTGTACAAGGTTTTACGTCTCTCTGTATGGTGATTCAGACGTGATACTGACAGATTGGAAAGACATTCAGAATTATATGGGGGATTCACAAGTCGTGACCAAAAATGAAACATCATACACAGGACCGCATTTCAAGGGAGGTCGTCTATGTAACATTTTTTCGTACCCATACATTGGCCTGCGAGGTCTCCTGATTTGAATCCCCTGGATTTCCTTTTGTGGGGCGCTTCCAAGCAACTAGTGTATGCTGAACAAATTAATGCTGCTGATCAGTTATAAGTAAAGAATAGATAATTCGAGCCATAAAGACTTTTGCGGCAATACCTTTTTCTTTATTAAAAAGCTTGTATCCGTCAGAATGGTGTGGTTTTTGAACATTTATTGAAATAAAGGTTTGATCATATAATTTGTTTTTTTTTATTTTTACGAAAACAATGCACTCTAGGAAAAAACACTAGAGTAATATTACTTGTAACATAAAATTCGAAAAACTGCGAGTTTCTAAAAAAAAAACGTGGCGTACTATTTTTATTTGGAAAAATAATGCAACTAATCCACTGTATCTCCGCCACTGGTGCACGTTAGTTTCAAGGAAAGACTTTTGAATGTGGTCAATAATTAGGTAAGTCCACATACCCAAATTTAATTTATAACAGTTGACGGTTTTGAATATATTAAAAAAAATGTTATATTACTTTTAAATCTACCTTTTTAATGAAGCACTCGAGGAAAAAAGGTTACATAGAAGACCCTCTTAAAATGAGGTCCTGTGTATGATGTTTCATTTTTAGTCACGACTTGTGAATCACCCTATATGTAGAGACTTTCCCTCATCATTCTGCTCTCAGCTATTATCCCTTGACAAATATGCTCAGTTCCTTCCATCACGTCGATTAAATATGCAAGCTTACCGTAATTTGCTGTAGCATAACCACCCTCATGATCTTATTTACGATTACCGGAAAGGGCTAATAACATTTAATGAGAAAGTAAGGGATATATAATAAAACTGTACCAGATTATAGTTTTCCTTAGGCTTGGGAAACATATTTCGACGAAACCTGATCAAATAATTTCATCATGCATATAATAGATTGTGTGGACCGAAGAAAATATTTGATGGATAAAAAACGTAAATATACTTTTTTTATAATTACCTGATTAGTATTTTAAGACATCACAACGCGGCATCACTGAAGTACCCATGAATTATGCTTAATTACAGTTAAAACAATGGGTGGTATGAATAAAAATGAAGTACCTTCTAATACTACAAGTATTAGCATTTTCTACAAAGTATGTACTTCAAATCTGAGAAGAAGCTACATTTTCAAGTAGATACTTTTTGTTTTACCGGAACTTACTATATCAAGTAGTATTTACTGAAAGTACCTACTTCTTGTAGTAGATGCTACTAATTTGAAGAGGAATTTAGTATATGCTTGACTTTTGCGAAGTTGGTATAAGTGCAACTTCAGAGAGAATACTACGGTTAGTTTTGTTTAGTTTTCTTTGAAAATGGAAGGAATACGCAGCAGAAAAATATATAATGCAAGACGCCGCTATCATAATGATATTTTATATCATAAAATATTTCGGTAATTTAACAATAATATTATTATTGTTTTTAATTACTTTTAAAATTGTTTATTCTTTTAGGTTTAGTAGAGAAAACGTATCTTACCTAGCGAATATATTTCTCCCAGAAGTAAATGAAACTCGAGGCGGTGCTCTTACACACATCCAACAAATGGAAGTATTTTTAAGAAGCTTAGGTATGTTTCAATAAATGAAATAGGATAAATAATCTGATTTTTATATCTTTATTTCAGGAGACCCTGGATTTCAGCTAGGCGTTGGACTTGATGTTGGGATTCATCAAACAACCGTTTCAAAAATTATTGATAAGGTATCACATGAAATCTGTAGCAAGAAAAATCAATGGGTTAAATTCCCTGCTACGGGAGCTATGTTCAACAGAGCTAAAGATGAATGGGCAGCACATAATACAATACCTCATGTCATTGGCGCCATTGACTGCACTCACGTGAAAATTATAAAACCATATGTACATGGCGATGAATATATTAACAGAAAAGGAGTTTCTACAATAAATGTACAAGCAACATGTAATAGCAGAGAAATGTTTACCAGTGTTGATGCTTCCTGGCGTGGGTCTGTTCATGATTCTAGAATATGGTCCTATTTACCCTATTATGTATAATAATCAAAAAAGAGTTTGTCTTTTGGGTGATTCTGGATATGGTGTAACTCCTTGGATGCTTACACCTTTCAAAGATCCCATAACAAACATTCAAAAGTATTTTAACAGAATACATGCAAGAGAACGTGTGATTATAGAAAGATGCTTTGGCCAGTTAAAAACAAGATTTCCTATGTTGAATTATACAATCCGACTTAAAACAGATAGAACATGTCGATATATTATGTGTGCATTTATTTTACATAATTGTGCAAAGTTTTTGAACGATCCAGATGAACATTTTGATGAAATGAACATAGAAGAAGAAGCAGTTATGCCTGAATTATATGCCGAACCAAACAACGGTGAAGTCCGACGCCGAGTTATCCAGTTTAGAAATGAAATTGCAACACTAATGTACAGACAGCGTTGAGAAAGTAAATAAATATTTGGATTGTTTGGATTTTATACATATTTATTTTATGAAGGTTCTGACAAAATAATTAAACCTAATAAACATGTTATACAAATAATAAACATAAACCTTATTTCTCTTTTAACAAAAAAAAAAAAACATATTAATCAGTAGGTATTTTTGAATCCAAATGAATTCAAAAGCTCGCCTGTTGTCGTGCAAAGTAATCTTCTACGAATTGCTCTACAGCTCCTGCGGCCCTTTCGACAGCTAGAGCGGCCATTCCTTGAGCTATAGCAGCTTTTTCTTGAGCTGCGGCAGTGTTGATTTGTTGAAGTAGTAATTTCTTTCGTAATTTAGCCATTAATTCTTCATCATCACAAAAAGGTATTTGATTCTCTTCATCGGTCAATGATATATCAACGTCTTGACTGGTGCCCGCAGTTACACCTCCTAAAACATTATTAAATTAAAAATGTTGCACCACAATAGTACTATGATTTTATATGGAGGAAAAGTGATTTTATGACGAGCCTGAATTAGACAGCCATGAAAATTAACTTTTCCTCCAAGTAAAATATGCTGTTTTTCTTCAAATGTCAAGAAATTAATCGCGGAAAAGTAAAAAGTGAAGCTCCGGCTGATGAAAAATAAAACTTCGTGGCCGCATACAAGTCAAGCAATAAATGATTTACTGACGTTTGAAGAAAAAATATATAATATCAAATAATACAGTACCTGGCACTTGTTGAATTACTGGATTCTCACTCCCATTCCATAGGGTGAAAAATTTTTTTTGCCACTCATTTAACTTAATTTTCCTATTTCCTGTTTTCTTCATATCGGTAATATTTTTAATTTTACTTTTCATATTATTAACTTTTTTTTAATACCTGTTTTGCATCTAAATTTTGTTTTGTATTTCTGTTATACGTCTCTGTGAATTCTTTAAGTGCTTTGTCTTTGGCAGACTTAACGGGAGGTGTCATTTTTTTATCCAGAATAATTTTATAGTCTTCTAACATCGCAACAAAGGCTAACTGCAAATCTTCATTTTGGGACTCTTCTTGATTTGGCATTTCCTCGTCGGAAGACATTTTAACGCGCGTGCCGTACAATACCAAGTATGTGAATATTTCAAATAAAATAAAACAACAAGTGTGACCTGTCGAAACTTGTGGAAATGAGAAGATGCTACTCAATTTAAAGCATTTACTTCGGAATAAAAGTAGATACTACAGGCACGATAGTAAGTACTTCGACGTAAAGCAAATACTACCGGAACTGATTGGATACTTCATGGCGAAGTATTTACTTTGAAGTAGATTCTTAAAATTGTAGTATAAGCATCTACTTCGTTTTTATTCATACCTCTCAATGTTCCGTAGTGGTACAATCTGAATTTGTACTTGGCTTGTAAAAGTAGTTATTGAGAGGTATGAATAAAAACGAAGTAGATGCTTATACTACAATTTTAAGAATCTACTTCAAAGTAAATACTTCGCCATGAAGTATCCAATCAGTTCCGGTAGTATTTGCTTTACGTCGAAGTACTTACTATCGTGCCTGTAGTATCTACTTTCATTCCGAAGTAAATGCTTTAAATTGAGTAGCATCTTCTCATTTCCACAAGTTTCGACAGGTCACACTTGTTGTTTTATTTTATTTGAAATATTCACATACTTGGTATTGTACGGCACGCGCGTTAAAATGTCTTCCGACGAGGAAATGCCAAATCAAGAAGAGTCCCAAAATGAAGATTTGCAGTTAGCCTTTGTTACGATGTTAGAAGACTACAAAATTATTCTGGATAAAAAAATGACACCTCCCGTTAAGTCTGCCAAAGAAAAAGCACTTAAAGAATTCACAGAGACGTATAACAGAAATACAAAACAAAATTTAGATGCAAAACAGGTATTAAAAAAAGTTAATAATATGAAAAGTAAAATTAAAAATATTACCGATATGAAGAAAACAGGAAATAGGAAAATTAAGTTAAATGAGTGGCAAAAAAAATTTTTCAACCTATGGAATGGGAGTGAGAATCCAGTAATTCAACAAGTGCCAGGTACTGTATTATTTGATATTATATATTTTTTCTTCAAACGTCAGTAAATCATTTATTGCTTGACTTGTATGCGGCCACGAAGTTTTATTTTTAATCAGCCGGAGCTTCACTTTTTACTTTTCCGCGATTAATTTCTTGACATTTGAAGAAAAACAGCATATTTTACTTGGAGGAAAAGTTAATTTTCATGGCTGTCTAATTCAGGCTCGTCATAAAATCACTTTTCCTCCATATAAAATCATAATACTATTGTGGTGCAAAATTTTTAATTTAACAATGTTTTAGGAGGTGTAACTGCGGGCACCAGTCAAGACGTTGATATATCATTGACCGATGAAGAGAATCAAATACCTTTTTGTGATGATAAAGAATTAATGGCTAAATTACGAAAGAAATTACTACTTCAACAAATGAACACTGCCGCAGCTCAAGAAAAAGCTGCTATAGCTCAAGAAAAGGCCGCTCTAGCTGTCGAAAGGGCCGCAGGAGCTGTAGAGCAATTCGTAGAAGATTACTTTGCACGACAACAGGCGAGCTTTTGAATTCATTTGGATTCAAAAATACCTACTGATTAATATGTTTTTTTTTGTTAAAAGAGAAATAAGGTTTATGTTTATTATTTGTATAACATGTTTATTAGGTTTAATTATTTTGTCAGAACCTTCATAAAATAAATATGTATAAAATCCAAACAATCCAAATATTTATTTACTTTTTCAACGCTGTCTGTACATTAGTGTTGCAATTTCATTTCTAAACTGGATACATCGGCGTCGGACTTCACCGTTGTTTGGTTCGGCATATAATTCAGGCATAACTGCTTCTTCTTCTATGTTCATTTCATCAAAATGTTCATCTGGATCGTTCAAAAACTTTGCACAATTATGTAAAATAAATGCACACATAATATATCGACATGTTCTATCTGTTTTAAGTCGGATTGTATAATTCAACATAGGAAATCTTGTTTTTAACTGGCCAAAGCATCTTTCTATAATCACACGTTCTCTTGCATGTATTCTGTTAAAATACTTTTGAATGTTTGTTATGGGACCTTTGAAAGGTGTAAGCATCCAAGGAGTTACACCATATCCAGAATCACCCAAAAGACAAACTCTTTTTTGATTATTATACATAATAGGGTAAATAGGACTATTGTACCATATTCTAGAATCATGAACAGACCCAGGCCAGGAAGCATCAACACTGGTAAACATTTCTCTGCTATTACATGTTGCTTGTACATTTATTGTAGAAACTCCTTTTCTGTTAATATATTCATCGCCATGCACATATGGTTTTATAATTTTCACGTGAGTGCAGTCAATGGCGCCAATGACATGAGGTATTGTATTATGTGCTGCCCATTCATGTTTAGCTCTGTTGAACATAGCTCCCGTAGCAGGGAATTTAACCCACTGATTTTTCTTGCTACAGATTTCACGTGATACCTTATCAATAATTTTTGAAACGGTTGTTTGATGAATCCCAACATCAAGTCCAACGCCTAGCTGAAATCCAGGGTCTCCTGAAATAAAGATATAAAAATTATATTATTTATCCTATTTCATTTATTGAAACATACCTAAGCTTCTTAAAAATACTTCCATTTGTTGGATGTGTGTAAGAGCACCGCCTCGAGTTTCATTTACTTCTGGGAGAAATATATTCGCTAGGTAAGATACGTTTTCTCTACTAGACCTAAAAGAATAAACAATTTTAAAAGTAATTAAAAACAATAATAATATTATTGTTAAATTACCGAAATATTTTATGATATAAAATATCATTATGATAGCGGCGTCTTGCATTATATATTTTTCTGCTGCGTATTCCTTCCATTTTCAAAGAAAACTAAACAAAACTAACCGTGGTATTCTCTCTGAAGTTGCACTTATACCAACTTCGCAAAAGTCAAGCATATACTAAATTCCTCTTCAAATTAGTAGCATCTACTACAAGAAGTAGGCACTTTCAGTAAATACTACTTGATATAGTAAGTTCCGGTAAAACAAAAAGTATCTACTTGAAAATGTAGCTTCTTCTCAGATTTGAAGTACATACTTTGTAGAAAATGCTAATACTTGTAGTATTAGAAGGTACTTCATTTTTATTCATACCACCCATTGTCAAACGTATAAATATAATCACCAGATAATTTTGTTAGCATATAGATTAAATCAAATATACAAAAAATCACGCGTCGAAGCTTGAGTAATTTGTTATTATTTTTTTAATACTTCATCTCGTTTTAGTAATTTTTTCTATATTAATAATTTCTCATTTATTTGACATGCTGTAAAAGCTGTTAGCGTTTTTTTTTGTTATCGTTTTTTTTTTCTGTCACGCCCATGCCTCACGTTTGAATTGCTTAGAAAATCTGACTATTTGACCTTGGCAACGCTAGCTTTTGTTTTAGGTCTAGTAGCACCATCATATGTCAAACGGTTTACCAAGATGGTAGTTATAATATTTGATGTAATTACTTATATTTACCTTTAACTTGTTGAGCATGTTAAACGTGTAGTGTCAGCTATA